ACCGGAAATTAACAAACAAGCAGATACGCAACAGTATTTACGGTAAGGTTTTGGAGATCAGATATCAATCATTGTTATGGTTAGTAGCTGTAGACGATAAACGAAGTCTCTAATTATTAATTGCCATTGTTTTATAAACAGATAGAGATTTAAGTGATTGTATAATATACTAATCTTAACAACGATCTATGTTTACATTCTACACATACAGTTGCTTTTATGTGTATATATTTTATATAGCATAGGAGTATTCTGTTGTTATGAGAAACTATATCCCATCAGAACCAACATAACACTCTTTCAATACTTATTTTTCTTTTCCTTAAAAGTTCGATTTAAAATTACTTATTAAAATCTCTCTTTTACACACTGTTATTTTTTATTTTATTCCATGTTCAATTTCATTTACATAAGTTGAAGAAATCGCAAAACAACAAGAACTCCTAACTTAAACTTCATCCACAAAACAACAACTCCGAACTAAAATGTAATCCACAAAACAAACATAAACAGTATTTGATTTAATAAGTTATCACTTCGAGTGGTATAATTTGAATTTTGAAAAACAAACTGACATCCATTAGAATGTTTCAACAGGAAATCATATATATATTACACTCAAATATTAATACCCCAACAATTTTAAAAACTTCAGAGTAAAAGCCCCTACTTTGTCATTTCAGGTGAGATTTTTGGATATTTGCATTCCGAATTACAGTAAGCAAATCAATGGTCAATTATTCGTCGAATCACAGAACTGAGACTTTTTGTTCGTAAAACAGCTTCTACTGGAGGTATGGCAATTACTGACACACCAGTTAAAGGAACAGGGATTTCTTTCGGTTTTCTGATGCTTTCGTCGTCCAACATGAAGAGTTCAGTTTTTGAAACTGGTCCCCATTCTTTACTGCTTATACCTCCAATAACATAGATAAAGGCTTCTGCAAAGAGCATCAGCAACAACTTTATTAGTTAGGGTAAAAAAGTAATGCTTTATATTCTGTATGTAAACTTAAACAATTATCAGTAGATATAAAAATTCCAAACAAAAAATACAAATTCTTTGTAGATTAATTTAAACAAGTACTTGAGCATTACAATACTTACAAGGAGTTATAACAACTAAATATCTTCTAGATTTTCAGGAACTGTCTTGCTAAGCCAATTATGTAATGTATGTAATTTATATTGTAAGCACTGATCTGAAATATTCCTCATTAGTATGTCTAATCAAGTTTATTTAGTTTCTATTTATCGCGTATTTCATATCGGCTAGATAAGACAGTGGATTTTATAATTTTAACACTAAAACATTGTAACAAGAAAGTTGTTTGTATATCAAATTTAATCGTTACCGAGTGACATCATAAAGTTTATTTTGCATTTTCTAGTTTAAGTATATACAAATCTCATTAGATAAATTGTGATTTATACTTAATGGATTATATGGTATAGTTGTTTGGGTTTATTAGCGCAAAGCAAAATGATTGATCTGCTCTTCAACTACAAAGGTATCTTGTTACTAACGTCTTTAGTAAAAAATTAATGAACTATTTTTATATTTACGTTGTTTTAACATTTCGTACCAATGTAAAGAGTAAAAGAAATCTTTTAGCAAATTACTTAATTCTAATACCATTTAATTATTCAAAATGTTTATAATAGTGCTTAAACATTACTGTGTTCATCGTTGTACAGTAATTAATATCCTATGTTAGAAATACAACACTTTAGAAGGGAAGTATTTACCAAAAGCAACAACCCCAGCAGAATGTCTCGGTATTTGTAGCTCGGCTCTAGTTTCCCACTTGTTACAGTCCATATTATAAATATCGAGCAATCCTGTGCTCACTAGGTGGTTTTTATTGGACTGAGAAACACAACAACCGCCAACAACCCACAGTTTATCTTGTGCAACAACGGCTGAGCAGTAAGCCTTAGCCATTGGCAGCGGAGGACGAGATGACCATCTAGGTTAAAAAATATTGTATTTAGTCAAATATGAGAGTAAAAATGTCAAGATTATTGGAAATCGTTTTGTTACACGATACTTATATGTTTAATATGAATTTATAATGAAAACAGAAAAAAATAGTGATTTTTCTATAATTTTGTGTTTTTGAAGCTCTACAGAAAACTTCTTCCAAAGAAAATCTTAAGAATTGGCTTAATTCTAAACAAGAATATTTAACCATGAAACATACAGTTGATAACACTTTTTAATCAACAAATGTATTATTGTTAAGTTTTTGTGAAAGAGTTATCTGAGCTGAAAAAAACTAAAACGGCTTGAAACTATAGTTCTTAACTGACTTAAAATAGATACGTCATACTTGTTCCATCATGATATTTGCAAATCAAACCACTCGTTGACTCTATTTTTAACCATCTCAAATCTGCTAAACGTTAAAACATTTACAATACTAACATGTGATGAGAACAGATACGTATATTGGAGTATTCCTATATTGTATGATATAAGTCAATTTTCTTAACTTGTATAGTGATGATTCCTGTTATTAGTGGACAGGTATCACTATCTTTATACACTCTTCTTTACTTTCAATCGGAAGTTTATTTATCATTCTTACACAAATGTTATTTTTATAGTAATTGTTTCACAATAACTTACATTCTAGTTACTGGATCATAGCACAACACGCTATCAAGAACTGGTGAATCATAATCAGAATTTTCTGGAAACGACGTCAACCCACCAAGTACCCAGATAAATCCCATGTAGGTCACTGCACCCAGACCCATGCGTGGTATGGGCATTGGTCTCTCCATTTCCCAGGCGTCTATTTCCGGTGTGTATACTTCCATAGACGAAACCACTCTATTATTAAATAATATTCCGTTTAAAAATATTATTTTATGTAATATACAAACAATAAAATGATGCTAAAGAAATAAACTTTTTATTTCATTTTGTGCATAATACAAATCAAACTTTCATTTACTGACGTTCGTAATATCATTCATATAAAACCAAAATCTGGTGTAATAAGTATGCACGATATTGTAAATTATTTACACAAATAGTTAAACTTTACCATGTCTGTCTTTACTATGCAGTTCATTTGGGATTAAAAAAACAAAGAAGAACATTTTCCATCAATACTTTACTCATCATACTTGTAATTTTTTACACGATTAAAAAATAAAATATTGTGTTTTACTTCATGCATGTGCTACTTACCTCCCTCTGCTATCACGACCACCGATAGCATAAATACGGCCACGAATAGTTACAACACCGTGGTGTGCTCGAGCACAGATCATGTTCCGTTTACTTTCCCATTCTTTCGTGGTGAGGTCAAGTACATAAGTAGTTCCTGTCGGTATCATTTCACCACTCTTACTTGAATCTGGATCGTATCCACCTGGATTGAAAAAAAAGTTGAGTGTTATAAATTAGTTGCGTACATACTGTCATAGCATGGCTACAGAGCCCGGAAGTCAAAAAGTCCCAAGCCAGGAGAAAGACAGTAAAAAAAAATATAAAACACTTTCTTACTCTACGCATACACACACAAATAATCCATAGTCTACGAAGAACCAGCATAGATATGACTGTTGAGTTTGATTGCTAAGGGGCTTTACTTATACCACAGACTGATTTATACATTGATTCATTGGAAAGCCCGATTTACTAGAGGTATCTAGTGGAGCTTCTAGTGTAAACAAAGCATGATACTTTGTGTCTGGCGAACTCCACATACTACACATTCTTTCATGATATATACACATTATAAATCTATCTTTACATTACAAAGTGAAGTTAGAGCACAAAGGAAACATAATACAAATGATTCATATTGTTAAACAAAGTATTTCATTAGAAAAACATGACAGTAACAATTGACTTTAAATGCATACTTTTTTCTATGCATTGTCAGCTATAGTTTTATCACATCCACTTGCTTCACTATGAGATACCATGTTTATCATAACTGTAACAATTTTACCCTAACAACACAAATAATGAATGAACAATAGGGATTATACATAAAATAATTTTAAATGTCAAATGGCAACGTGTGCTGTCAGCCAAGTTTCAGTTTACAACAATCAACTTATAATGTATTCTTTCATTTTATACTAAATACCATAATATGACAAGAAAACTGAAAAAAATTACACTTGACTTGTCATTATCCTTTAGATCAGTTTTGTATTTAAAACTGACAAATATATACAAGTTTTATGAATCTTACATTTAGAACAACCATACTTTAAGAATTAGTGTTATACAGAGTATTATGATATTTTTTCACTACATGTCAATAAAAATCTTCAAGTAATTCAACGGCTACACTGTTGGCATTGATTCATATGCTAACAGAATTAATATTTATAGAAGTAATCACCCCTTCTTGTCCTCTCTATACAGAAGTAACTTGTGATATGCCGTGCTTCTTTACAACATGTCTTTTCATGATTGTGCATCTGGCCAGGTATGGAGATAAAATAGCCAACCGACTAATCTTTAAATACCCTTGGGTTTTGGGGACCTTTATACATGATAACATATATCTAGTACAGTCATATATTATCAGTTTGCAAACTTGAAACACAAGGTAATAAACTGTAAAACGTGGCATGGAATTTAAAGTCTGTATATTTTAGTCTGTGCTTATATACAATACACACGGTCAGGATGGCAGTTTTTCTCAAAACTCGAAATAGTCATTCAAATGTTTCGTAAAGTGCAGAACAAAAGAGGAAACAATACATAAAATAACACCGAAGTTGTGGTTGTAAGTCAGAGGTGCACATCAAAAGGTTTTGTCCAACATGATGGTCAACTTATTACAATTCTTTGTGTGCCTTGCGTTTTGCTACATACACGCACGGAAAGCCGTCTAGAATTATTCTTCTGTGAGGAACAAGTGATGAAGTATCTGAAGAGACGTGGCTTAAATAAAGCTTGAATGTTTCTAATTTGGTTTTCTTCTAGTTCTTCAGTGCAAAATTTAGAACCTGTAAATGGTGTCTCAAATGTTACAGCGATAATAGTTTGATCTCACGAAAGCCACAAAACACTCAAAGTGCCACTGAAACACTGACAACCTATTATAATAAATATACGCTAATTAAAATCAGGAATAGCTTTGTTGAGTACAGAACATGCACGAGAAGGAAAATTGAACATAGATAATATTGTGGATGAATTATCTGCCATGAAATGCTGAAGACGGGCGTTTTAACCACAGCTTGGTAAGTACGCACATTTACTCAGTATTCTAGTTAAGTATCAATAACTCTCGGTAGAGGAGCCTGACTATTTGTTGCTATGTACATCTGTGTTATAAATGTAAATATCTATTGCAACTAGGTTACTATTTACTCTCTAACAAGAAGAAAGGCCTAAATACATCAAAATGTGGATATAATAGAGTTCATCTCAAATGACACAATCATAACCTCTGAATTTCAAGATAAAATGATGAACAGATTCTACAGGCCTATAAACACATACAATGCCTTGAAAAAGTATTCATCCCTCCTACTTCAAAGTTCCACATTTTGTTGCTGTCTGAGCTTGCAGTCATAAAACTTTCAAATGGAACTTTAATATTAAAATCTACACAATTTACTCCAAAGTGGAAAAGCTAAAAAAAACGCTGATATTATGTAAGTAAGTAAAATTTTCAAAGAAAATTAGAATATTTCAATTGCTTGTTTGTTTCTAATTAAGCACAAAGCTGCACAATGGGCTATCTGTGCTCTGCCCACCACGGGTATCGAAACTCGGATTCTAGCATTGTAAGTCCACAGACATACCGCTGTGCCACTGGGGGGCGATATTTCAATTGCATAAGTATTCAACCCCTTTGTTATGGCAACCCTAAATCAATTCAGGTGCAAAATATTAGTTTGAAAGGTCACAAAATTAGTGTAATGGTCTCTGTCTGTGTGTAATCAAAGTAGTTTAACTTGACTTCAGAGTAAATGTATCTAAACAAGCCACAACTCACCTAGTGATACAACCAACCAACCATGAAGGACGAGGAGATTTTAAAACAAGAAAGGGATAAAATGGCAGAGAATCACAAATCAGGAGAAGGTTACAAGAAAATTTCAAAGTCACTGATTATACCTTTGATTACGGTGAGGTCCATCATTAAGAAGTGGAATGTGCTTCATACCACCTAGTCACTACCCAGTTCAGGCCACCCTTCAAACTAAGCAGCCGGGCAAGCAGGAAACTTGTTAGAGATGCCACTGTGAGGCCAACAGTGACTTTGAAAGGTTTGCAAAGTTCCATGTTTGAGATGGAAGTCAGTGTTCATACATCGACAATATCTCAGACCCTACACAAAGCTGGCCTGTATGGGCAAGTGGCAAGCAAGAAGCCATTACTGAAAGAGGATCATCTTAAATCTCATATGGAGTTTGTGACAAAACATGTAAATGATATTGCAGACATGTGGCAGAAGGTTTTGTGGTCAGACGAAACAAAAATTTAACTTTTTGGTGTAAGTTATGTTTGGTGCAAGCCCAACACAACACATCATCCAGTCAACACTATCCACACTGTCAAGCATGGTGATGGCAGCATCATGTTATGGGGATGATTCTCATCAGCAGGTACTGGAATGCTTCTCAGGATTGAGGGAAAGATGGATGGTGCAAGGTTCAAGAGAATCCTAGAGGAAAACCTGCTTGAGTCAGCCAAGAATCTAAAACTGGGTCGAAAATTCACATTTCAGCAGGACAATGACCCAAACCACAAAGCCAAAGCCACACTGGAGTGGTTTCAAAAAAAAAAAAAAAGAAAGAAAGTGAATGTCCTGGAGTGGCCCAGCCAAAGCTCGAACTTGAATCCAATATACCATTATTGGCAAAATTTGAAGACTGCAGTCCATAAATGATTCCCACTATACTTGTCAGGATTGGAGCAATTTTTGCCAGGAAGAATGGGCAAAAATTACACCATCCCATTGTGCAAAATGGTAGAAGCCTATTCAAAAAGACTTACAGCAGTATTTGCTGCCAAAGGTTCTTCCACCAAGTACTGATGTAGGGGGGTCTGAATACTCATGCAATCAGCAAATTTCAGTTTATATATATTTTATTTGCTGGTTTTGCTGACATTCAACCTCCTTCACACATAACAGCATTAAGTTTGATCATTAGGGTTTTCAATTAGAACAAGTTCATTAAAAAATGTTTTATGTTATTTGTATTTCATCAAAATGTGATATTATTGGTAGGAGTGAATACTTTGGCAAGGCATTGAACCTATAAATAGTATTTTACATTAACGTGTTAATACCAATTTGTTCCCTCACAATGTGCATTTCTGAGATTAAAAATTCTATATAAAGAGATGGCGACTTTACACTCCCCCTAATACCAGTCAGAATTTCCACCTTGTTCTACACTGATGTATTAAAAACATAAATAAATACTAATGTTAATTCAATATATTAGATTTTTACTACAAACGTTCTTTATTCATCAAAGAAACCGAACTACTAATTATGTAGAACTTGATAATTAAAGTACATAATTTGGCTGGATATCAAGATCTCTATATTTCCTTTATTAACAAATATATATATTTACTATTCCTAAAATTTCCTTATTAGCTTTACTAGCTAATTCAAGGACTTTTAATAATAACAAAAATTTCAGAGAGAAAATGTTAAGGAAAGAGGGTTTAAAACAAAATTTTAACTGCCTTATTGAAATGTTTTTAGTCCAATGAAATATTAAATTATAGAATACTTATATGGTAGGAC